AAAATGGGTCTTAAAAGGATGTTCGGTGAAAGTATTTCTTAAATGTTGGTGTAGAATATAGAATGGCCAGTGAGGCCCTTTAACTTTTGCAGCCATTTAACTTTTTTGACGATTAGGACAATGCCATCCAGCGAATCTTAGATATTTCAGCTAATCGTCATCTATCTTTAGATCTTACTTTACCATTTTAACTTCTAAAGATGTTGTCCAAAATTGCAGTGACAAGCTCTGGAGAAAATGGGTCTTAAAGGATGTTCGGTAAAGTATTTCTTAAATGTTGGTGTAGAATATAGAATGAGTGAGAGCCCTTTAACTTTTGCAGCCATTTAACTTTTGACGATTAGGACAATGCCATCAGCAGATCTTAGATATTTCAGCTAATCGTCATCTATCTTTTAGATCTACTTTACCATTTTAACTTCTAAAGATGTTGTCCAAAATTGCAGTGACAAGTTCTGGAGAAAATGGGTCTTAAAAAGGATGTTCGGTAAAAGTATTTCTTAAATGTTGGTGTAGAATATAGAATGAGTGAGAGCCCTTTAACTTTTGCAGCCATTTAACTTTTGACGATTAGGACAAATGCCATCAGCAGATCTTAGATATTTCAGCTAATCGTCATCTATCTTTAGATCCTTACTTTACCATTTTAACTTCTAAAGATGTTGTTCAAAATTGCAGTGACAAGCTCTGGAGAAAATGGGTCTTAAAGGATGTTCGGTAAAGTATTTCTTAAATGTTGGTGTAGAGATGTCGAATGAGTGAGAGGGGGTTAAGAACCGCGATCTTACAGATCTACCTGTCCCCTTTCTGATTTATAACTCATCATACAGTTCAGGGCTTTGACAAAAGACAGTATCTGAAACGGTTTTACAGAGGGTACTTCTCCATCTCCGATATCAGTCGTGCCTAAGTTTATAGCATGAATGGTTGTCGTCTCGGCGCACTCAGTGATGAGAGGTGTTCTCCCCATTGTTCCCATTCTCCCACAGAATTTATATTCGCCCTTTTTTGCTTCAATCTACTGATGTGTTCAATGAGACAGTGTCCTGTTAAAAACCCCGTGACAATCCGACGATCCCCATCAGGTTATGACTGGAGTTTTCCAGGTTCTTGAGTTCCGCTTTAAGTTGGTTTACACTTGGGAAGCAGAACCTTTCTGGTCCAGTTAGTGGAGTGTGGCTTCTTTTCTAGCTAGGTCGTTTGCTTTTTTTTCATTACTTTCTATCCCTTGGTAGGCTGGTACCAAGACTTTATTTGCTTTGCTAATTTGTTCAGCTTCTCTAGCCATGCTTTGACCAACTTCGAACTGATTGATAGGCAACTGTGTTGATCACTTTTTAACGCTGCTTGATTATCAGATAAGATGGTCATTGTTTCCAGTGATATCTAAGATAGTTGTACGCATCTTTCGATAGCGTAGATTTCTGCCCAGTAGGATGCTAGGAATTATTAAATATATTATATATAAATCTATATCCACAAAGTTACGCGGAAGAGTTTTGATTGCATTGGTTTCAACTTCTATGCGGAGGGTGTTAATCTTTTGTTGTTATATTATACCAAAAAAAAGATTAACCCCCTGGCAATTTTAGTATGGACAAATCGCCATATGCCTAATTATTTTGGACATTGGCCGAAATTTGGCATCCGCCTCCAGCATATACGCCAAGTTATGGTATGGTCTTCTAAATGTTGGTGACGCGACTATCTGCTATCTGCTACCACACACACCTAGTATGTTAAAGAATACACGAGGCGGCATGTAATTTTCACATTACCTCACCATGATATCTAAGTAAAATTCCGTGTGGGGTATTAAATTGCTCCGCGGGAGTACTGTAGGCTTAATTTGCAGCCTTAGATTGACGATTTGATAGCACCAAAAAAGTCATTCTTGGGCGTGGACGTGTGACATATTGATTTTCTAAGGTCGTGCATCCCAAAGTATTGTATTACGCGCCGCCACTGATAGCTGGGATTGGCGTGGTCCAATTATAAACGTAAAAGTTTCTGAACAATTAGGTTTTATTTGCATTCCGTGAGAAGCGTCTTATTACCAGAAAATTAGACGCTACAGTTATTTCTAATGTTAGAGTATTATATCATCGGCGTTTAGCGTTCCGAACAGTCGGTGCCGCGCCGGTCGGGTTACGCTATACGGACTTTTGCAACGGCGGATTAATGAATGGGATGGGATAATACGGTTCTCTGATACTGATAGGTCATTTCGCGCGAAACAATGAATTACTTTTGGTTAAACCGCCGCGCCGCGTAGGAAATAGCAGCAATAATCTACTTTTACTTAGACTGAAAGGGGTTACCATTAGATTGTTTACTTCTACAGGGTGTCCCATTTTCTTGAGTTTTGCATGGGATTTCTTGCTTATAAGAGGAGATACGAAGATGTGGTTTTCATCACTGTCAAACACACTGTTTTTCACATCAAAAGAGGCTACACAGACTTGTCCTAAACCTTAGTTCCTATACATACAGTGGGAATCTGAAAATTTCGCATTTATCGACTCCCCTTGTATCTCGGTTATCTTATAACTGTGAAGCTATAAGGGATATCCTCAAATAAGCGTACAGAACGCCAGAGGTCCAGCAGCCAAGTTTGTAGACTATTTAGCCGTAGGTTTATGCTACGTTGCCCAGGGTGCACCACGGGGAAGTTCTACATGATGTTTGACAACACGTGTGTATGTGGTTGTATGTATATTTTACATATTAACATATTGTGGATATTGTCAATAGTATCCTTTGCTGCCATACGAAATATATAAATCTTATAACTTATCAAAAAGGTGAAAACTGGGTACCGTAGAGTGTTTTACACTGTGGCAATTTTAAAACTTCCAACCTTTAATATCTTTCTTACAGTTAAAAATATGAAAAATCGGAAAGACACGTCAATTTTATTTGTATGGGGGACAATTTAAATTAATATTTTTAGTCTTTTTCTTTCAACCCCCTAGGAGGGGTAGATGTCACGTTTACAATCTTAAATGGGAATGGGGGCAAGTGGCACATCGTTTTAAAGGGCGTTTAATTCTCTTTTTAGTGGTATCCGACTTTGTTGTTTTTTGTCCAGAGGTTTCTGAATAATCGTGTTTCAAAGTTGCAGGAACAATTAAACATGTCTGCATTGAGATTTTGGTTTTCAAGCTAGTGTTTGCACAAAAATGATTGCAATGGACACAAAAATGATTGCACTTGTAGTACAAATGATTAGAATATTAGGTTACACCACTTACGCTCTATTTTATAAGTTGTTCAAAATGTTGTCCATTTTCCTGTAAACAATAATAGAGTCTGTTTTCCAACACCTCACTAACATTTCGGAAAACTTCACCGGGAATTGACAGGCATTCTGCTGTAATTCGCTTTTTAAGATCATTAATATCAGTAGGCTGTGTATTATAAACATTGGATCTAAGATGTCCCCAAAGAAAGAAGTCTAAGCACAGATAACACATAATCTAAGGGTTAAATCCGGTGATCTTGTCCACACAGTCTAGATTAACACCCTCCGCATAGAAGTCTAGTCCACACACTAAGGGTTAAATCCGGTGATCTTGGAGGCTATTCAATTGGCCCCCTTCTGCTAATCCATGTACCCGGAAATCTCTCGTTTAACCATTGTCGGACCGGAAGAAAATAATGAGGTGGAAGACCCCGTCCTTCTGGAATATTAACAAATCCTCCTGTAAAACTGGATTACCCTCTGCATATTAAGATGCAGATCACCTGTCAAGTTTCCTTCTATATATATAAAGGACCAATTCATTCAAGCATTCCCAAGAACACCAGCCCAAACATTAACTCTTTGGGATATTGTGTATGCCTCTCTCGAAAAATGAGGGTTTGAGAAAAATAATAAATAATTTGAGAAAAGCAACGTTAATGGTTATGATGTTTTCTGGTTATTAGTATTTCGATCCCCCTAGAAAAATGTAATGGCTACGTCCATGTTACCACCTAATCTTCTAATCATTTGTACTACAAGGAGACCCATTGCAATAATTTTTGTGAAAACACTAGCCTGAAAACCAAAATCTCAATGCAGGCATGTTTAATTTTTTCTGCAACTTTGGAACGCGATTATTCCGAAACCTCTGGACAAAAAGCAACAAAGTAGGACACCACTGAAAAGGGAATAAAAGCCCTTTAAAACGATGTGCCACTTGACCCCCATTGCCATTTAAGATTGTAAGGGTGACATCTACCCCTCCTAGGAAGTTGAAAGAAAAAGGGGACAAAAATATTCATTTAAAGTGTCCGCATTACAAATCAAATTACGTGTCTTTCCGATTTTTCATATTTTTAACTGCAAGAAAGATATTGAGGGTGGGAAGTTTTAAAATTGACCCAGTGTATGTAGAATTTAGTGTTGCCAGAATTGAAGGATTTTCTTCAATATGAAGGATTTTACAGTCAAATTTCAAAAAAAAGTATATAGTTAATATAGCAAAATGAAATAAAAATGTAGGTTCTGTTTAACTAAAACAAGTGCATATTGGTTACAGTTATAACTAAAAATTATCGTGACATCTTTTTAGAAAGCATATTCTTTTAAAATTTACTGTTCTTAGATTTAGAGAGATACCGTAAAATACTGTTTGTTTTTTCTTCTGATTGTTTTACCGTAAATTTATTGCACGCTGTTGACAAAGTCACATACTTATTTGTCTTTCAATTTGCATAGTTTTTTTCTGACTGTTACCAAGTCGAAACAAAAAGTGGAATAAGCGGTACATTACATTACACAGAAGAACCGCAAAATCGTTATAAAACAGTTTGTCTAAAATCGTAATTTTTTAGTGATTTTGATGTCTCGAAGCTTCCGCTTTAGCAACTATTTCTTATAATGCTGAATCGTTTTTTTTAAATAAAAATAACAAAAAATTGGTAGAATAAGTAATGTACGAAGATTTGCGACATTGATTTAAAAATACCCAAATGATAATCAGTGTATACTTATAATTTTTCTTTCTTTTCAGGTAAAATCTTTGGAATGCGGTGGTTAGTGTACATATTTTTGGTGGAAGTGGTTGTCGCAGTTTCGAAAAATGATACTGAGGCTGATGGCGAGGAATCTAGAAAAATTCTGGGATCAAGGTTAGTTGTTTTAAAGCTATAGATACCAGTCCTGATATTATTCCTTATAAAAGATATCAAAAACTGAATGTTCTAACAGTATCTTTATATTAGTGTACTTATGGACTTGAACTAAGTAACTTATAAGATTTATTTTTCATATCAACATAGGTCCGATTCTGCTTTGTTTCGTAGCTGCAGGGTGTTAAAGTTTTAATATTTTTTAGATTTATTATAATTTTCTTCCAAGTACTTTTAGCGTTTAGAATTTAATTTTTAATATTTTTTAGATTTATTATAATTTTCTTCCAAGTACTTTTAGCGTTTAGAATTAAATTTTAAGGGCAAAAGTTACTATAAATGCTACATATTTTAATGCTAAAAAAGTGTCGATATATTCACCAGGGACGTGCATATGGGTTACCACTGGAATATTTTTCTAAAAAAAGGCATGTACGCCACTGACTTTTTTTCGCTTTCGCTGTAATGCCGATTAAAAGTTGTCTCTTGATATTTTGTCGATTTCAGCCTCCTTGATGAGATAAACGCAATCTTATTAATTTGCTTTGATCAAGTCTAATAGCAACCTTTAAAAAATTTTAATATCATTAACTTGCAAAAGTTTTAAATAAGTACTCATTGATTCCCCATCAATAATTATGAAAAAAATTTCCTATGAACATGGGTATGGAAATGCGTAGTTTTAGAGTTACAGGAGGTTAAAACTTTAAAAATAGGTTTTTGTAATTATTTTTAATACCATTATTTGTTTATTTGTAATTGCTAAAGTAATAGTAATAATAACTAATAGTAATAATATTTAAAAATTAAGTAAAATATATCATTTATTAATTTTATTGTTATTTTAATTTTATTAATTGTGATTAATAAAATTGCGTTTATCTCATCAAGGAGGCCGAATTCAACAAAATATCCAGAGATAACTTTTAATTGGCATTACACGGCCTACACAATTTTGATATCAAAAGGAAAAGTCAGTGGCACACATGTTTTTTTTGAAAAATATTCCAGTGATAGGTAACCCATATGCACGTCCCTGATGAATTTATCGACGCCTTTTTAGCATTAAAATATGTCGCACTTCTAGTAATTTTACTCTCAAAATTTCATTCGAATCACTAAAATTACTTGGAAGAAAATTATAATTAACATTATGAAATTATATGAAACATTATGAAAACCTATTAATAGAACAACGACCACAGTTTTTACAAAACGATGAAGCCGTCACTATTACAGAAGCTAGAACAAACATATTGATTGAGGAAGTTAAACAAGCCTTGATGTCTATGAAAAACGGTAGAGCTCCAGGACCGGGTGGTATTATGGCTGAAATGCTAAAATATGGCGGAGAATATCTTATAACAAAAATAACAAACTTAATGCAGATGTGTGTAGATCGGAATAAAATACCTAACGAATGGAAGTTAGCCTATATCACTTCTATATATAAAAAGGAACAGAAAAGACCCGAATAACTACAGAGGGTCTTATTGTGAATTGCACCTTCAGCAGACTTTTTTACAAAAATAATTAGGAATAAGTTAGAAATATCTACCACAACAAAATCAAGTGAAGAAGAGCAGAGTGGTTTTACTGCAGGGCGTTCATGTATAGATAGTCTATTTACTATCCAACAACTGATAAAAATCAGATCAACGTGAAGGAATATACATCTAGCTTTTTGTAGACCTTCAAAAAGCTTGACTCTTCCCCAGAGTTAAACTATGGGTACATACTATGGAACAATGACTTGATGCGGATAAATGTCTCATAAATTTAATTAAGGTGCTGTACAACAACAACACAGCTCATGTTAAGAGCGGTAACTCTAAACTGTCTGAGGAAATTTTTTTACAACTAAGGCCTTCGACAGGGATGTCCTATGTCGCCTCTTTTATTTAATCTGTATTTGGTTTGGTTTGGGGACTGGAAGAAGAGGTGTGGGGGGAATGGGCGTCCCTGGGAGATGACTGTTTGCATGGTTACATTGAATTTGCCCATGATCAGGTGGTCATAGCTCAGAGGACGGTCATAGCTCACGGAGCTTACGACCTTAGAATTCATGATGAGCAGGTTAAATTCGGCATACACGGAATGGGGTCTTACTGTGAACATTGATAAAACGGAATACCGTAGTTACCAATTCAGATGATAAATTTGACATTTTATTAAAATTGACAATGCAAAGCTCAGACAGATTGAATGGTTTAAATATTTGGGGCACATATAACCAAGAAAGGGACTGGACAAAACAGAAGTATCTGCTAGAATAGAACAAGGGCGGAAGATTATAGGAGCACTGAATGGCATCTGGTTGGGACAAAAACATAAGATCAAAACACAAAAAAAACATATTGGAATAAGCCTAGTAGAGTCGGTAGTAACTTATGGTTGTGAAGTTTGGACCTTAAAAACTGAACAAAAAGCGAGCTTTGAATGCACTCGAAATGGACTATTTGAGACGCAGTGCGAGTATCTAAACTGGACAGAGTTAGGAACGTGGAAATCAGAGCCAAAATGGCTTAAGTTGTTTGGACACTTGCTACGTATGGAACACCAAAGATGGCCCTACAGTATCTACAGCTGGTCACCTCCTGGAAAAGGATTAAGAGGACGGCCTAGAAGATCCTGGAATGAAGGGCGATTAGAAGAGCAATGGAGGACCGTAACTTGGAAGAGGAAGATGTTCTTGATCGTAACAGGTGGCGCGGCAGTTAGACGTGGGGATGCGACGCTAGTTGCGACAACCCTGGAGTATATATATATAAAATTATAATAAATCGAAAGATTATTAAGATTTTAACCATATTTTAACATTCTATAGCTACGAAGCAAAGCAGAATCGGACCTATATTGATATGAAAAATAAATGGTATTTTTACGTGAGGAATCTCCCCATGGGAGATGGCACAGGTTTTTTGAAAAACCCTGTATAAAAAAAAAGAAAAAAAAACAGCTGTAATAATGTCTTCATCTGAAAAGCCTATAAACGTTCACTTTTTTAACTGTTTAATCATCTGATCGTGATCTGCTTCAATAAATAAGCTTCTTTGTAATTATAGACGCCAAAATAAGTTAATATCCCGTCAACGTTTACCATTCAATTAAGCGAGCTCTAAAGAGTACCAAAAAAAACGAATCTTTCGATCATTCATTGCTCGGAAGTGTTTACTACGCCGAGAGTGTGTCAAACTCGAGAGCAGGTGGCAGTACCACAAAATCTCATTCGAATAGTACCGACCGACCGTTTTACAGTTAGGTCGTACCGATCGACCACGATATTTTTATTTGTTTTTTATTCCATTTACTTTCCTTCGCATCACTGCTAAATTTAGATGAAGTTTCTAAAATGTCTTTATCCAACGGTATATTTCCCGGACAATATTTTTACTTGTTACCGAAAATGTAGGACATCGTTTATTCATCGATTGATTAGAGAATTTTAGATTCTAGTTCTTGGAGATTAAAGAAAATACATATTTTTTAAGCAAGGATTCATCTAATACTTATGATTATTTTTTATAAAGATTATAATTATATTACTGAACAAATTAAATACCTATAAATCCCATCAAAACATAGAATGTAAAAACAACAAGTCTCCTGAGTCTAATTCTTCCACTATAAAAGTTGTGAGACCTCATGTAAAAATAAATCAGCTTGTTTGATTTAGTTTCTCTTTAAGTCACCTATTCAACAATTTTGATTACAAATTATTAGTATCAATATTAGACATCTTTTATTTCTTCAAATTCCTATGGGTTAAGTAACAGAAAAAATTATGAGATATAAAATTGTTTCAAAAATGTAATAATCTAGAAGTACCTTAGAATTTAGAAATAACACAGATGCTATCATTTTTCAAATGATCCGGCAACAATGTAACGTTGATAATATTTTAGATAAATGGAACAGGTGCCTTATATAAAAATCCACATTTTCAAAACAATCCTATTACCGGTGCTCTTATTACCATCACTGGAAAGTCAGTTATCCCAGCTTCAGCAGTCATTGTCAAGTTGACAATATAAAGGAACATTTCATAGATAAATGCAACAAGTTTAGATTGGAAAGCCCGTAAAATTTTAGGTCGCAGAAATTATTTTGGGTCGCGACCGTTACATACGCGATCTGGCGCTGCTATAGCGGTCGCTAAAATTAACGGCAAACAAAAACAGAAATAATTTTCTCTTGTCAAAGGTCAGAATCTTCAAAAATCATAATAATCTTTTTAAAATCCTAAACCGCTCTCCATATAAGGATATTTCGAAATTTTTAATTTTTTCCTTTGGTTATAAGCTTAAAGCTACCTAAAATTCAAAATTTGAAGTTTGTGACACATCTAGAAGTACCTTAGAATCATAGATATAAGAAAATAATCTACTATTAAGATAGATATGAAACTTAATAGTAAAATTTTGGGTCAAAGCGCCCCTCCGTGTTTTTAGTAGAAACAACGTTTAACCCAGCGCCTTCGCCTTTTCTGCTGTAAATGTTTTTTATGATTATATTTGAATTCAAAGGATTTATTTTAAAGTTACACTGATATATTAGTATATCAGGAGTAAACGAAAATAATAATAAATATATATATTTTACAATTTATTTTTTATTTATTTTACAGAGTTTTCAAGAGTAAATGATCGACTGGCTGTCTAATGAATAGACCGGAGATTTATAGATTTTAAAGCGAACGAAAAAAAATCAAACAACGAATACATACCGTATATTTTTATCTTTATCGTTCTAATTTATTTATTAATGTAAAACTTATGATGAGAGATGGCGATAGGGTAGACTCAAATAATTGTATGTAAATTATTTCACCTTGTGGAATAAATGACAAGTAGTTATTAAAGCTAAAATGTTATAAAATATATAATTCTAATAAAAATGAGATAAGTTCATAAATAAGTAGTTTATTACACGCAAACATCCGATACGCCTTACTGAAGCTTAAAGTAAGTCAAATATAACAATAAATTCTTGCCGACATCTAATCTTTGACAAATAACCAACATACCTTATCGTCTGTTTTTTTTGAAACACGTGCATTTCTGCTGTTATGTTAGTTTTCTTTGCAAGATGCAACACATCAAGAAAACACCATTTTACAACTATCAGTTAATAAATAATAAATACTGATTTCATAGGCTATGAAGATTTAAAATTTAGATAGATAGAAAATTAAAACAAATGAGTATTTGCAAACGAAGGCCCAAATTCAATAAAAAATCAAATTTTTTCCTGCGAAAATCAGGCTTTTTCACTGAAAGGTATTTTTGATGTTATCAGCAGTCATTGTCAAGTTGACAATATACAGGGTGTTTTCAGATTAGTCTAAAGTTATGGTGTGATTCCTCATGTATGTGTTCTTAAAACAATTTTTTATATAACCATTAGGTCTAAAGTACTTGCTTTCTGATCTACAGGGTGTTAAAATTTAAAAAAATCGATTTTTTTGCTTAATATAAATGGTACACCACCGCTTTTTAAAGAAAATATATTTTTTTCTTGACTGGCCATCCTTTTTCAACAAAATTGATCTTTGGAGTTTTTCTTGTTCATCAATTAAGAGGCCGCCTTAATTCGTTTTCTAACGATTTTTTATTTTTTAGATTAATTAGGAAACACCCTATATATGCATATCACAGGCAACCAAACAAACTAGTAACCTCTAAAAATTATTTTTCCTACCACTAGCGACATACCGTGTTTTTAGTGTGTACTAAATTATTTTATCAAAATTTTACCATATAAGTTTCCAGGCAATGCTTAGAATTTTGATGATGTGTCAGTGAGTCAATGTCGAAATTAAAGAAATTTGACAAGCGATAATTCATAAACTATGAGGTATAATTACTATATAGATTTTTTGGTAATCTAGTCAGCTATAGTAGGTATTTTCTCAGGTTTAGTTAAAATTAATATTCTTGCTTTATCCACAACCAAGTTACGGGGTGGTCAAAAGTGCCGCTAATACCTTCGAGAAAAGGATGGTACGGCTGTGCTCGATAGTTCTGTTCCAAGCAAATATACACAGTGTCCCAGGCTGAGCGTGTATTAGAAGTTTCTAGATAACTACAACATCTAGATCTGAGATTTTTGGCTTGTCATTGTTCCACAACGACATCTATTGATTAAAAATATTTTCAATATGGCGGAACTTACCGGCGGAAATACCGGAAGTTGACAGCAACTTTTTTATTTTAAATGGGTATCCCTATTTTTTATTACATACTTAAATTCTGAGCAAAATTTTATGAATTTTGAACATTAACCGTTTTTGAAAAAGAAAATATTTAATATTTTTGGAGGCAAAAAAACTGTCTGGCAAAAAAAATTCTATAGGCTCCTAAACGTCAAATTTAGTGATTACCAAAGCCATTGTGTCATAAAGAGAAGACATGTGGCTATCTATTTCAAAAATTAAAATGTTTGAATGTCATGTAATATTGGCTGTAGCCGAGGCTGAATTGAGCGATTAAAAAATTACCATAAATTATTTTTTTTAATGAAAACCCACTTTTTATTTTACCAGTAAAATGTTCTTCAATTCATTACTTTTTTATTATACATGTTCCTATAAGTAAATAAATCCTTTCTTATTTAAGATTTACGTGTAAAACTGTTTCAAATAATCAGACAATTTATTTCCGTCTATCAGAAAACTAAATAATTAAATTTCGTATATTATAAATATTGCTGCTTAAAACTTTATAAAGTGTATTTATAGAAATAATACGCGGCCCGGCTGGCAAACGCCACCCAGGGCACCCAGACCATATGGCTAGTCCGAACCTGGTTATGGATCTAGAGCAACGCTTTTTATTCATGTTTCTTAGCTTAGATGCTATTTTTATGTCAATTTTTTTATAGTTCTTTTTTTTCTTGATAGAAGCAATATCTAAATACGTGGGATACCCAGTTTGCTGAAACTAATTTCTTAAATTCATGATTTTCTTTGAAATGGATTCTTAGATTTCATATAGAGTTCTAATAATTCCATCCTTTATTAAAAAAAATATTCAAAAATTTTACACCTCTATTAAAAAATTTAATTTTGATAAATGGTTTTTGAAAGTTCTTCCAGAAAAGATACATTATATACTACAATACAAAAATTTTGGTTCTAAATTTAGCTTAGCACTTTTTAAATTTTCTACTACGTTGGACTAGAAGAATAAATTATATTATAAAGCAAAATAACTATTATTATTTAGTTTATATTCATTTTTATATAGAAGTTCTCACATATCCCGGCAAAACAATGACAGGTTTGCACACAAAGCTTATTCTAATACTAATATAATCTAAACCGTAAAACAATAAGGTACTGGCATTTGTTGAAATATTATGCACGATTATTACAATTTTTTCCTTTCTAGTTTTAATGAATCGTGTTATTGGAGACCGTTAGGCTTGAGAACTGCTTAATTACTGCCTAATAATGTTTCGGCTGGATTATGTAAAAACCACGATATTTTAATAATTTTCTGTAAAAAGGAACTTGTTTCTTCAATCTCCGTTATAAAATTCTGTGTCACGTAGTGCTTTACCGCTGTTGTTCATATTGTATAATTATACAGTTTACAGTAAGGTTTAAATAAATCTTTTCTTTTTTGTATTTCTTTTTTCTTTTAATCCCTAACCTATATTTCCATTTTAAGACATAAATTATCTTGCACCTTCACTATTAGAGATTGTTATAGGTTAGTATAATAGAAAAATTATGAGATATAAAAGTAGTTTCCAAAACTGTAAAAATATATTGGGTGCTCTATTTAAAATAAGAAAGATGCTACCACTTTTCAAATGATGCGGCAACTCTGTAATGCTGAAAATATTTTAGAAAGATGGAGCAAGTGCTTTTATGTAAAAAATCCAAATATTTAAAAAATTATATCGCCAGTTCTCCATAAACATCTAACATACCATCACCTTATATAATTACCAGAACATTCTTATAGTATATTTTTTTAATCTCTATGGGAATGATCTCTCTATATGGGATTCATTATTATGTTACTTAAAGCAGTTTAATAACTTTATTTAATTTTACATTTTAATGTTTTAACATGCTATTTAAAAAAATTCTAATTTTATTTTTTCCTTACAGTGTTGTCACTTCAGTCTCCGTTGTCATGGATAGTGGAAATGGCAAGAAGACAGTATATACCGACGCAATAGGAAAACCTCATTCCAAACCAGCCAATCCTTCAGAACTGGCTAGTCCCATCGAGCTCCTTCATCCAGATCGATACGAATTCTACACATTCGATGACAATGGTGACTTAGTAAAACGACTCATGTCATTAGACGAAATCAAGAGCATTATAGCTACCGGAGACAGTGATGCGTTTGATTTAGACGCATTTACTTCACAGGGCTTCGTTCCAGAGAAACGTGTAACCGACGTGGTTAATAACGTCCAAAATGTGTTAAAAGAAGAAATGGAGATTCTTAGAGACCCCATATCCAAACCTATTTTTGACACTCCTGACGTAAGCGATTCTTGGAGTATGATTTTGCCGGCGGTATTTGGAAATTCTGGTGAAGATATTAAGCCAGAAAAGCCCCTAACACATGTTACTCCAGATACAATTATGGTGGAACCAAACGGAGAAACTCTTACGACTCTGGGACTTCAAAGTAGCTCAACCACGCGACCAACTCAGAGTAGCAGTATTTCGACTCAAAGCACCACTTTTATCTCTAAACCAGTTTACTATAGCAGCCAGTCAGTGTTGGGTCAAAAATTACCGACAAGCACCGAGGCAATGTTGAACGTCGAAATATTTTCTAACAGTGAACAATCTACGGAAAAACCATCAATAACAACAGCTCACTTAATGCAACCTGATGTAACTCCTACAAGAGAAGCTGTTCAAGTAACCAACACATTACCGTCTTTGATTCGAACAACACCATCCACATTTACATCAAACATTACCAATCAGTTCAACAATAATTCTGAGCCAGCAATGTATAAAACTACAATCGAGATGCTTTCTAGCACTAAGTCTCCTAGTAATCCTTTAGCGGATGACTTAAAAACTCAATCAACAAACCAGATATCAAGTACAAGACCTCAAAGTGAAAGTACTTTTAGACCTACTCCAATACCAAACAGCAGTACTAGTCATATGTTAGCCAGTACTACTAATTCTAAAATCAAAACGTCATCTATAACTCCGACAACTTTCAGACCTACAAGGCCATTAGGAATATTTAGTTCTACAAAGTTTGCTGGTACCTTTAATCAAGCGGCTTCTCAAAAGGCAACACCGACAACAACAATGAAACCTGTAGTTACTGAAAAAACTACTAAGAAACCAATTACCTCCATGCCTACACATTCAAGTCAAGATTCAAGTACAATATCATTGTTACCATCATCAACTATATCAATAGCATCTAAAACACCATCTTTAATGACATCCACTGTTTCAAAACTAACAGTAAAGCCACAGTTAAATATATCTACAACTATAAGCAATGTGATGCAGAGTACTTCACCTTCAACAGCTTCCAAATCCCAATCGACTACTCCCAGCAGACCATCTACTTTGGCTATAATTATTACTAAAGCTACACAACGGCCCAATAATAGTTCTACGCTATCCGGTATATCAAATCAAGCTCCTCCAAACACTAGCACACCGATTTATTCAATAGAAAAGAGCACAACTCCTAATTTGGTTTCTTCATCTAGTATTCCAGCTGACTTAAAAAGTGAAGCTACTACGTTAAAAGATAGTACGACTTCAGCTTTAAATAAATTTGAATCTCCTGAATTTATTAACGAGTCTAGCACCTCAAGTACGAGTAATAAAAATGTTGTATCTACAACTAAAATTCCTTCGTTATTGCAGTCACTGAGTAATGATCAGAAACTATCCGCATCTGAATTATTGGATCAACTTTTATTGACCACAAACATCTATGAGATAAATACTGAGTTGACATCTCCAAAAGTTGAAAATATAGATAAATATTTAGAGATCGGCATTGGAGATAATAACTCAACTGAGGAGGTGACGGATAATAATGTAATTGAAACAACAACTCTTCACGATTCCCTCGTATATCCACCGACAACTGATGCTACAATAATACAAAGCATTGAACAAATACTGTCACAAGCTGTTGATAGTTTTGAGGAGCCTATAAATCAGCCTCTGCAAGAAGAAAAGGTACAACAAATTATTGAAAATTCTGCTCAAAAGAATATGGAAGAAAATATTCAAAATACTGCTACGGTAGGTTCAATATTGATAGGAGAAAAAGGAACAGAATCTGAGGCAGATATAACTTCTACAACAGAAAATACTTTTACTGCTGAAAGTGAAACATTAAGTAATGAGAAGTTGAGTGAATCGGTTGGTGCTTTGTTGTCACAGATATACAGTCCAACAATTACCACGATACTTGCTACAGATAGACCCAGGGAAGAAATTACTACCAGACAAATTGAATCTATTAGCTCATCTACAACACCTGTGTCTATATCTACAGAGAAAATTAATTCATCAAGCGAAAAAAATTCCCAATCTAATGAAAACGAAACATCCGAAGAAAGTGCTATTTATTATATTAAAACCAAAGTTCCTAGTACTACGACTACAACAACAACAACAACAACAACAGAGAGACAGTTACCTCATTTAATTAATATAACAATAATCAGTTATGATTCTACGAAGAACAGGTCCAAACCAGCAAAAGCAGACTTAAGTTTGGAAGAGAAACTTATTGCAGAAGAAATGAAAAATATGTCTTTATACTTCAATCATACCTTACATGTAACTTCAAATAACACCGAAAGTACAAAAGAATCTGAAGCTCAAGTTACTTTTGTAAATACAACTCCCACGATTGATGAACAAAGTACAACGACGGAGTTTGATGTGGAAAGTACCACAGCTTTTGAAGAAATATTCGTACCTTTCAGTAGTACTATAAAAAGACAGGAAAATGATAGAGTAAGTAGTACTGAATCGTCTAAGTCACCTATCACTACTACACAACGTGTATCATTGACTAGAAAACCTATAAAGCCATCAATAGTTATTACTATTAATGAAAACAGTACTTTTGTTACTGATAACGGAAAAGTGGTAGCTAATAAAACTATTTCACCATCTACATCTGGTACAACTATTTCAACAAGTCCTGTAGTTACTCCACCTCAAAATCACACCTGGACTTTAGTGTCCACAGTCAAACCACATCGTGAAAACAACCAAAACCTTCCATCTTCAACTATATCTTACGCAGATGCCATAGATCCACCTGCTCCGATAGATTTAGTACCAAAACCAATGCAAGGGTTTGGCCTTGATGAAAGTACAGCCAACTTAGACAATGACGTCTTCCAGTTTGTGCAACTTTGTAACGAGTTGGCGTTTGGTTTTTGGAGAACTGTTACCTCAGGGCTGAGTTCAGCAAGAAGCGTCTTTGTCAGTCCATTTGCGGCTACTTCTATGCTGGCGATGGTGTTTTTGGGTGCTAAAGGTGCAACCTCGGAAGAAATGAACGAAATACTGAAGTTAGACGATATGGTGACGTTCAATCCTCATCTTATCTTCAAAAACGTGTCTGAATCTCTTATCAGCACCGATGGGTATTCTGGTGTGGCTACTGCTACTATTATAAGAGAGTTGTTCAGTGATAAAAGTAAAGGAAGACTTTTAGATTTTTACAAGAATAGAGTGAAGGCGTTCTACGATGGGTATGTCGAAGAAGTGAGCTACAAAGAGATTGGAGACGTAATAAGGAGAAGAACGAATCTTTTGGTAAAGAAGGAAACGAATGGAAAGTATCCTGAATATTTGAGAGATAGCTCTATAACGGTTAGGCCGCCTTTAAGTGGGGTTAGCGTTAATATTTTTGAGGTAAGCACAAAATAAAACTTGTTGGTGTTTGACATGCCTTTAACTTATAACCTGCTTTGAAAAGTACAGAGTGTTCCATTTTAGTTGAAATCATACGGTATCTCCGTTATTAGCAAAGATAGGATGATGCGGTTTGCACAAACCTGTCCCACTTTTTTCTCAAACGGAAGATGCTGTCAACAAAATTTTCATAGCACTATTCGTTTCTGAGCTACAGGGTATTTTCGAAAATTTTGCAATTTAGGACAGCCTCCGTATCTCCGTTATTGTGAAAGATATCGAAAAGGTGAAAACTGATTCTTGTAGAACTTTTTACGCAGAATACAGTGGCGTAGTCTATTTTTCATTTTTCTACCAAAAAAAATATTTTTGAAAATATAAACTAAAATTAGGTTTTCTAAAATGGAACAAACACATATTTTCAAAAATATTTTTTCGTATAAAAATAGATTACGCCACTGTATTCTACGTAAGAAGGTTTACAATAAATAGTTTTCACCTTCTCGATATCATCCATAATAACGGAGATACGTGGGTTGTCCCTAATTGCAAAATTTTCGAAAATACCCTGTAGCTCAGAAACGAAGAAGGTTATGAAAATTTTGTTTACAGCATCTTTCGTTTGGCAAAAAAGTGGGACAGGTTTGTGCAAACTGCACCCTTCTACCTTCACTAATAACAGAGATACCTCAAAGAGATTTCAACAAAAATGGGACACCCTGTACATTCTTAATTGTATTTCAGACTGATTGTTCCCAATCTTCGTACGAAGGTCGCGATGGTGAGCTTCATTTTGTCGTTTTACCATCGATCAGGCAAAGAAGACTGATTCCCATCCCGGCGGTGGTGTACAGGTCGGGTTTTTTGGCTGGATACGAACCCAGTCTTGATGCCACTGCGGTTTCACTGGGAAGCACTGAACAAACAATAAGTACTATCTTTGTTATACCCGGTCAGCAAGGAATATCTGCACCTGGAGATGGATTATCCAGATTGGAGAAAAGACTAGTAGAGAGTTCCTTTAAAAAAGGTAACACTATTAATCCTTAAATTTCTATTATTCTGATTTATATTTTACACCCTAAAAGTAGCAGAGCCAATCAAATAGAGCATATGAAATTGCTCTAAACTCTAAACCAGCATTATTATTTTAATGCGTTTAATTTAACAAAGAAGTAATAATTTAACGAATTTTGGTTACTCTACAATGTCAGTTGTTAACTTTAAATTAGATCAAAAAACAAATTTAAAGTTAACAACCGACATTTTGTAGATTAAAATTTAAATTTTTGTTTAAAGTTAGTTTCTACTTATTAGTTCCAATCAGAATAACTTAATTTTTGTGTAATTATTATGTTTATCGGTAACAAGTTTTAGTGTATTAAAATTTAAAACCCTTTTTGTAGAATAATTCCAATCATTTGGTCATTTTGCTAGATAAAAATTTTTAAATAGTCGATATATTAATATTATCAAAATTAAGTTTGTCGAATTAGTCATACTTCAAAAAATTTAATGCCGTCATAATCATAGATAAAAGAAAATAACCATCTATTGTCATAATACCATTTAGACACATTTAGGTTGGATATTTCGCCAGTAGTACATGTAAAATATTGACAGTAATTGACAAACGACAAGTATGTTAAATGATTTTTTTAGAGAACGATAGAGTGTATTAAAAAAAATGTCTATACCTATATGGCGGATTCATCTCTCCAAAAAATCCTGTATGGGTATTTCCCCACTGCAAGAAAATGTACAAAATAAAATAGTTATTTTTAAATGTATTGCTCATGCATCTGTAGATGTTAGTAATGTATGGCAATTAGAGGTGTGTAGTTCGTGAACGAACTAGTTCCAATGAACTATTCCGACCCCGGAATGAAAGGAACTAGTTCCTGGTTTTTCAAAGAACTAGTTCCTCAGGACCTATTCCGGGATCGAGATTGTGACCGATATAGAATAATATGCGACGGCGATGGATCGGCTAGCGCGCGTAGCCCGATGGTAGGCAGGAGTGGGGAGTGCCAGCCATACGCCATCAGATCCGAACCTAGAGGAACTAAACTAAAAAATAAAAGACTAGTTTACGTACGAACGGATCGGGTCAGCGCGATCGATGCTAGGCAGGAGTGGGGGTAAGGAGGGCCAGCCGTATGCCGTATGTTATCGGATCCGGACCTAAAGGAACTAGAGGAACTTAATAAAAGACTAGTTTACGTATGGATCAGCTAGCGCGATTGATGCTAGGCAGGCGTGGGGAGTGCCAGCCGTATGTTATCGGATCCGGACATAGAGGAACTATTAACTAGTTCACGGGAATCTATTCAGTCGGCAGATCCGAGATATAATACAAGGCGACGACGGTGGATTCGGCCTTGTCTATTGCCACAGCCAGCGCAGCGTAATTACCACAGAAAATTGTCGTGGATACTGTTTTTGATTTTTAGTTTGTTTTTTAAATATTTTATGGGAATGTTTCAATTTAGGTCCCTAAAATTTAGAAATATCTTATAAAACGAAGTAGATATTCCGAATTTTTAGACAAAAACAAAAAGCTTGAAGTGAGGAAAAATGCAATTTTTCGTAAAATTTTTGTAATATTTGCTCCAATTGATTTGTGATATAGTTTTTTAAATTCTGATTTGAGTTTTTTTTTATTTTTTTATCTGCATTAAAATTATATGTTTTTAACATACACAATTACACGTCTCCTTATATCTCCGTACATTATAAAAATTATACAGATCATACTGTGAATAGTTCTGACTGACAACGAAACGCATTAGCATGCAAGGGGGATGTCAATGTTAGTCGGAAATTATTGTAAACTAAAGACCTAGTTCAAGGAACTATTCCTCTGGAGGAACTAGAACTAAGGAACTAGTTCCTCCCAAGGAACTAGAATTCCCATCTCTAATGGCAATCGCAACTTTGATTTTAAAGAACATAACATAAATAAACATAACATACTTAAAAATTAAAAATAATTATACAGAAAGTTTGGGTTTTCTTGGTTTTACCTTATAAAGTAATTGTTATCAGGTAGTACCTGGTAGTACTTGTTAATTTTGAAGTTTAACTTGATATAATGTCATTTTAACAGAACGTCAATGGTTTCTTGTAGACGTATCTGCTTTAAAAAAAACTAAGGTGTTCTCATAATAGTTTGAATTTAAATATTTTAAATAGTTTTTTTCTTTATTCTTTGTATTTTTTTTGCTTCCGACGACGGAAAGAGATAGACTTTCCGAAACGTTAAGCGTTTTTTTCTTTGTTAGGCAAATTTGTATAACTGTAAACAAAACTTCTGACAAACAGTGCCCTTTAGGTTTAACGCCAGAAGTGTTTACAAAAAATAACTATTTTATTTTGTAGATTTTCTCTGTGGCGAAATACCCATAAAGAATGTTTTTTGGAGAAATGAAATTACTCTAACCCAGCAGTGTTATTTTAATGTGTTTAATTTAACAAAGAAGTAATAATTTAACGAACTTTGGTTACTCTACAATGTCAGTTGTTAACTTTAAATTAGATAAAAAAAATAATTTAAAGTTAACAACCGTCATTGTAGATTAAAATTTAAATTTTAGTTTATTCTACTTATTAGTCAGAATCAGAATAACTTACTAGATTTTGATGATCTTTTAAGAAATTTGTAGCTAAATTATTGACTTTACTTAGTATATCTTTCTAAATTATTTATCTTCTTCTAAATTAAAAATAAAGTTCCCATTTGTCAATTATACGAGGGAATATCAACAAAATGTTGTTATTTTTAGCGAAAGTATGGAACACCCTGTAGATTATGTTAAAGAGCAAGGAATTTGAAAATCATTTATAATCTAAGTGCATCTTTTTTCGATAATTTATTTTTTCCTCTCAACAGCTTTATTTTTTTGGAGATATTCGCTTTTGATGAAACACTAACATTTTTTCGTATTTTTTTCATTAAAACCATGCCTTTGCTTTTGGACCCAGTCAACCTATGAAATAGTATCTATGATTTATGTAATGTCATTATTATTGAAGAATTATATTATTATTGTCTATTGGCTGTTGGGCAGCTACTCTAGGAGAAATGGTTTTAAGTCCAGAAGTAGTATCCGCTATAGTTGCTTTAATTGAAGATGATACAGATCAAAATTATGCTACTAACAGATTTAGGTATGCCCGAAGTACAGTGCAGTTGCTTGAGATAAGTTCATATGCTAGACGTCCAGGAACCTTCGTATGATAACTTCGAATTGAGACGATTGACTTATTTGTAAGTTTATCGCTAAGAAACCGCCGTTTGCCAGCTTTTCAAATTTATAATGAATTATACCTAAGAAATGTACAGGGTGGGTCAAATTCGACGCTTTTAAATGGAAACACTCTTTTCTGTAGGAGATAGACAAAAACTAATATCGGTGTCTGGAGCTCAATTTTTGTCAAAAACATGATGGTGAAAAACGCATATCGATATCTGTTACCGTTTCGGAGTTACGGGGTGTATTTCAAAAATATGCATTTTTAATAAATCGCTGTAACTTTTTTGCTATGGAATATGTTGTATTTTTATGAAAACATTTCCAAAGCACCTTTTTACGTAGAATTTAATGGTTTAAGTGTAATTTTTGTAAAAGGAATAATTTAAGAATTATCAACAGAAAATTTGATTTTTTATATGGGACACCCTGTATATTTTTAGTTTGTTGAAAAGAATTTAAAATTACCTTTCCAAAAATATAATACACTTGATATTTTACTCGATTCCTCTTCGAGATATAGAGTATATAAAAATTTGCCCGCTTTAAATAAGTAGGCTTTGAACGGCACCGGCTATGATTTCAAAAAATTGACAAAAAATTCAAGCTGTGAGCATCAATTAAAACGAAAATAATATTTGTTATGAGAGATGAAGAATTTTATAACAATTTAAAATATATTTAACCAACATCAACACATTTAAACTATATCTAATAACAATAAAAATAAATAACAAACCAAGACATGAGATTTTGCTACAGGTGTTCGACATATCAACCGTCTTCTGTTATGGACAGACGGGGCAGTTTTTGAACATTTCTCGCGGAATTCATTAACTCAGTGGGGGTGAAAGGTACCCTCCCATAACTGCTAAGTAATTCTAATTTTTGTCTAGATTATACGGAATAAGGAACCTTTATTCTTCAGCAAATATATCCATAGGATTAGATCCATGGGCACTAAGTCAGGGGGCCTCGACGACCAACGGCTGGGATCTTGATTAGCTATTCAATTATTCTTGAAATTGGCTACAAAAATTTGCTGATAACTTCAGCATTCAGAGGCGGTGCGTCGTCATGCTGGAAAAATATGTTTTCGAGTTCCATTAAGGGCATAACAGCAATAAGGGATCCAAAGCCTACTAGTTAAAAGTGGCGAACTTTTAAAAATTCTGTATTTCGAAGGGGATTATAACAAAATATCAGGTGTGCTATATTTTTGGAAAGGTAATTTTAAATTCTTTACAGTTAATTAAAAATATAGAGGGTGTCCCAAATAAAAAATCAATTTTTCTGTTGATAACTCTTAAATTATTAATTTTAAAAAAATTATACTTAAACCATTAAATTCTACGTAAAAAGGTGCTTTGGAAATGTTTTCTTAGAAATACAAAATTTTCCATAGCAAAAAAGTTACAGCGATTTTTTAAAAATGCATATTTTTGAAAAACACCCCGTAACTCCGAAACGGTAACAGATATTGATGTGCGGTTTTCACCAATATGTTTTTGATGAAAATTGAGCTACAGATACCGATATTAGTTTTTGTCTATCTCCTATAAAAAAGAGTGTTTCCATTTAAAAGCGTCGAATTTGACCCACCCTGTACATGTAAGTGAACGGACTGTAAGAAGAAGACTAAATGAAACAAATCTTATGTCTAAAAGGTCTGCTTCGGGATCACAACTTATTAGGTCTATTGACTAGGACCAAATGTAAAGGCATATCTAGATTTAATGTAAGATTTACGAAAAAAAGTTAGTGTCTTCTTCAAAAC